TGCTAATTCAGGTCCGTCTTTTGGGTTTTGTGTTATGTCTCTGAGCATTGCATGGTCTGATGTTGGAATACATTTGTGCGGAGAATATTGTGGCATTTTCTTAACACACGAAACCGCTCCGGACTACTTCTGGTCAGTCATCATAAATATTCTTTTTGTATGTGTGAAACAACTATCAACTATCTGCAACCAGAAAAGCTACTGGTCGCCATTAAAGATAAAGGAGGTTTAAGGCACTTTTTAAACACTATGATTAGTAGCATTGTGATAGTGGAAACATGGTATAAGAACTAAAAGAAAATTAGTCCCAGTGAGGGGCTTTCACAGAGTCACAGCCATGATTAGGTTACAGGTTCCTAAGGAAGTAAGTCCACAAACCCACAAAGAAAAAGTGGATCAGTTGGTCCTCAAAATGGACCAAGAGGTTTCCTCACTGAGAGACAGAAAAGAACTAGATCACAGATACATGACTAAAGAAAGAATACAGGATGAAATACTTGGATAGGCTAAGACATGCAGAACAGAAAGAGAAGGGGGCTGCTAAAGAAACATTTGGAAGGAGTGGGGTGGGGGGTTGGTATTTAAGCCTTGGGGGTTGTAGCTGCCCATATGGAAAAGAAATAGTAAAAACTTATATGACTTAACTCATGAAAGTGGCCACTTTCTCATTACTTTCATATATTGTTTTAGTAAGTATCCAAAACATACAAGTTTCATTATATAATTTTTCAAGGGATCTTATATCTGTTTTTACTCTTGTATGCTTTTCATACAAGTTTCACACAAGACAGATACAAACTTTATAAGATTTATATATATCTTTTCCATATGGGTATGGAGCTGGAAACTTGCAGTGAATGGAGTTCACCCTATCCATTAAAAGGCAGCACTGATTTCTTCAGAGACATGCTCCACCCTCTGGTTTGCATCTTTGTGGTGAGGGATTCAAATTGCAACAAGATAATGAGCCTAAACGCACCACAGTGTTAACATGTGAAGACCAAAGTGCAGGGCAACAATATCAGCGTGTGCTGCCCATTAGTCGAGCGACATATTACACTGTGTCTGTGTGTATTTGCTGCCAAAACAGGCCTGACTTATCGAGGCATCAACTCCACTAGATCCCTAAGGTGTGCTGTGTTACCTGTCACCAACATGTTAGCAACAGATTCTTT